TTGCCTGATTATGAATGAGGTCTTACATCTTTTTTTCCCCACCTTTATGGCTGTGGATGTTTCTGTTTCGTGAAATTTTGTGAAATGCCTATTTGTGTTTTTTGCTTGATAAAAATTTGAGTTTATTATTTAACTGATTTTGTAGTTTTAAAAAATTGCTAGGGGCAGTGCCCTCTGTAATCTTAGCTATTTGGAAGGCTAAGGCAGGAGGATTGCTTGTAGGGCCCAGGAGTTTGAGGCTGCAGTGAGCTATGATCATTCCACTGCAGTCTAGTTTGGTGGCAGAGCAAGACCTTGTCTCAAAAACAAAAAAAGGGTGTGTGTTTTACAGTTACTGGTTGTCTTTTGGTTATTTGTGTTGCTGGTGTCTTTTCCCAGTCCTTATGCTGTCCTGTCTTGTTCGATCGATTGATCGATCTTCCTGCCTATCTACCTACCTACGTACCTACCTATCTACCTGCCTACCTACATGTGCAGGTTTGTTACATGGATATATGGTTTGATGTTGAGGTTTGCAATACAAGTGATCCTATCTTCCAGATAGTGAGCACAGTACCCAACAGTTAGATTTACAATCCTTTTTCCCTCCCCGCCCGCCCTCGCCACTAGCTTTCTGTGTATATTGTTGCGGATTAATACACATTCTTAATGTATAGAGTTTTAATATGGCCACAAATTCCTGTTGCATCTTAGACAAAAATCATTTGTATGATCCCATTCTTTATATATTCTGAACTTTCCTTTGCTCTTTTAGACATCTTCCATGTTGATTTCTGTAAGTCTTGAAAGAAATTCTTAATAACAGTTTTTAGCTTTTCAACTGTTGCTGTGATAGTTTATTATAAAGAAATTTTGTAGTAGAATTTATCAGTTTTTTCTTTCATACTCAGTTTCCTTGTGTCTTAATTTAAAAATTCTTACATACTCAGAATTCATAAAGGTATTATATTGTCTTCTGAAATTTTAAAACATTTTGCTTTTTATGTTTATCTCTGTTAGAAAATTATTTTTGTGTATTGTCTTTGGTAGGGATCCGGCTTCATTTTTCGCCTTTTTTAAGATAGTCAATTAAATGGAAATCTCTGTAGTGACTTTTTCGTAGTACAGGTGTATATATCATAAGGTGAAGGCTGAGAAAACTACCATAACAAAATGCAGAACATAGTGGCATAAATAGATGAGAAGATTTTTTTTTGTTTGTTTCTTTTTCTCTCATAGGAAAAGTCCTACTGATAAAGTGGTATCAGTCTGCTTCGTAAGGTTATTCACTGGACCAAGTTTCTTTCATACTGTTACTTCACTAATCCCTAGGCTTTTGCTTTTGGTTTCTTGGTCTGTTGATGTGTAATTGTGCTCTCCTTGTTTTAAAAAAAGTTTTCCCTGTAGTTATCTTATTTTGCCGTCTTTTTTTTTAAAAAAAAAAAAAGTCAGTTTTTGATTTTATTGATCCTCTTCATTGTCCCATTGTTTTCTCTATTTTTATTGGTTGTGTGAGTCTGTGCTTTTGCAAGCCTTTAATAGGTAGGTAGCATTTACACTTGATCTTAGCCAAAAGGCCGAGAAGCGATGGTAGGTAGCATTTTGTCCACCTCTTCATCACCTTCGTTGCACCTCTGTGTTTAAGGGGAACAGAAATACCCATCTGGGTACATATCTTTTTTCCTCTCTGAAAATCTACTTTTCCTTAGAAACTTATTATTCATGTCCTTGCGCTGTGTCTTTCTGTTATGGTTCCCTTGGCTGACATCTCCAGAGGAAAAAATGTTTGGTTAGCTCTCAGTCCCAAATCATAGCAGAGCCCAGAGACTCTTGTCAACTTGAGCCTTCAGTTCTTGGTTGCCTTTTTGGCAGCCCTAGCAGCTCTTCCACTTGGAAGTGCTACATGGTCTTAATAGTTGGACAGGACTATTATGGCAGAATATGTAATAACGTTGAGAAGAAAAAACAAGAAATTTGTAACATTGAAATGAGTGCCAAATGGCATTTAATCTGTACTTATTTTTGTACTTTTTAAAAAAGTCATTTCTTTCCCTGACGTGTAGAGTGTATCTTCCTATTTCTGCATTTTCTTGTTTCTGTGGGATGTTAGTTACTCATGAAATAGTCATTGGTGTTACACAGGAAGAAAAGTTTCTGTGGTTACATTTAATAAGAGACATCAATGCTAGTCTTAACATTTAATTTCTTTTAGTTGAATATAAGATTGACATTCTTAGGTGAATTAAAAATTTTAAAGAACATGTATTCTTTAGTAGATATTTTGATACTAAGTACCACTAATTTGATTTGCTTCAGCAGTCATTAATGTAGGGCAGTCATTAATCACTACCGTTGATCATTTATTTCCTATACAGTCTAAGTTAAATGACCAGGCTGAAATAGTTCAAGTGAAATTATTCTATCAGTTAATGTGGTAATGTTAACATATATCAATAGTGCTGAATCACTTCTTTTGGGCATAATAGTGGTAAGCTTTTTGCTCATTGGAAAGACAGGCATAATTGCTTTTTTAAAATAAAAATGTAATTTGTAAAAATACTCCAGTAATTTTTGTAAAATTTTAAAATTGCAAATAATTTGACATTATTCTCAGTAATGAAGACTGTTAAATCTGCTCTCTTAACAGTAGCTATGAAATCATTTGAGGAAGAAAAAAGGTTATAAATATAAACTTAAAAAAAAAAGTGGAAAGACTTTTCCATGCAAAAAGATGCATTGCAGGAAGGAGGAAGAGTATCATGCACAGCACACCACAAGTCAGAATTAGAGACTTTGTTTTGTATTTGAGTAGACCCAAGATTCCCCACCCATCATCTCTTCCAGAATTACCTGTGATCTACTGTAATCACAAGTTTTACAGTGGGATACTGTAGATGTATGGAAGGATTTGAATTCACAAATAGTTAAACATGTAAAGAATAAGCTGATAACTGATAATAATACATTTGAAAAGAGGTCAGGTATACTTTTGAAAACTTGGAGGTTTAAAGTGTTTTTGTGAAATAAGGAAAATACAAGGCATTGACAATATTTTAAGGGTCTAGGAATTTTGTTCAGGTGAGTAAAAATCAAGGATCGCTTCAGTTTTGTTTTTGTTTGTTTTTTACTTTTAGAATATCTGATCTGGACTTCGGTGAATTTATGGAAGGGCTGGCTTTATTTTTGTATCCTGCGGTGGGGGGCCAACTTTGATTGTATATGTGGAGTAACTTGACCTTCAGTTTTTTTGATTTAAGAACAAAGGCAAAATATGTAACAGTTGTTAATAGCATTAATTCATTTACTTAGTCAGATATATGTTGGGACATTGTATTTGGTTGACACTTAGGAATATTAAAGTGAGCACTACTGATGTGGGACATGCACTTTGCCTGGTAATCACTGTTCATATATTATTATATTTAATCCTGTGGGCTGTGATGTAGATGTTATCCCTGTCTTACAAATGAAGAACTTCAGGCTTAGAATGATAAGTACAGTTAACTCCATAGCATGATTAAGCTGAGCTCCACAGCACCCTTTCTTAATACCATATTGTCTACTTGTCATGAAAACATGAAGAAAGCTAGGAAACATTTTCTTTTGTTGATATGGAGCCAGTAATGTATATCAGTGGTTTTTAAACTTTAGCATGCATCAGAAACACTTGAGGTTTTTTTTAAAAATCTGGGGTTTTGGACCATACCCTCTTTCTTATTCAGTAAGTCTGGGATTAGACTTGAGAACATGTATTAACAGTAAGTTTCCAGGTCTGATCTTTGGATTAGGGACCACACTTTGACTAAAGTATACAATTAGATCTTAGGGACTACACTATGAGAATCACTAGAGTATACAGTTCTGCTCATCATGTCCTTATAAAACTATACCATTCCAAATCTTCCATGTCTTGGTTAGAAATTCGTTAATAAATTAAACTTGGTGTAAATATAGTATTAATATGGCTTGAAACTATGATTGTATTTTTCTGTTTTTTTTTCCTCTGTGCATTTGGTGCTAATAAGTAGAAAGCTCTTAAAATACTGAGGAGAGACGACCTATGAATATCTGTTTACTGTTCTCATACTTGTTGTAATACAATTTATTCATTATGAGTTTAAATATAAATTAGCATAAAGCTTATGGTTAATTTGGATTTTTTGGACTTTCTGAAATGCTTTGATAATTCATTATCTCCTTTGCACATTTTTTTCATTTTGATGGTTGCATTTAACTTTTTTGCATTGATTGGTTGTTTAAATCAGCCAGTATTGATTGAACCTATTTTAAATACTAATACCCTTATATGTAAATATACATAACAAAGGCAAAACAGTTGATTTTAGCTAGTTTAAATACTAGTCTATTGGTTCATATTTTTGTAAATACATAGACTATTAAAACAGCTAAAATGTCAATGGCCAGTATGAACAACTGTGCGGTTCCCAAACGGAGGAATGTGTAACCTTTTCTCTAAAGAATTTTAAGACATGACCTTATTTTTGCAGAAAAAAATTTTCTCATTCCATAGATTTTTGCCTTTGCTTTCAACGTTCTAGCCATTGAAGTATATACCTGTTTAATTTTAATAATGATAATATGATGATATCTAACTCACCAGAATGAAGTTCTGCTTTTCTAAAGACCCAAGTTATCTGGGTGAATAAAAGGCCATTGGGATGGAGGATTTATAGAACATTTCTGAGAAAGTCTAGCTAGTATAGCTTTGGTTTGTTTGTAAAAAATTGAGATAGCTTTTGCTTATAGAATCTAATCAGTTTTTCTGTGTATTGTCTTTTGGACTTAGATTAAAATGAAGGGAAAGGAACACTGTTGCTTTTGTGAGAATGGGAGAGGGGTACATGGGAGAGTAGAGGGATGAAATTAATTTTTTATTATAGAGATTGACATTTTATCTATTCCCAGTAGTGTAACATTTGACATTTGTTTAAGTGAAAGGCTTTAGGTTAATATTTTGAAATTTAAAGATATCTTATGCTAATTTGTTTTTGTTTTTATAGAGAGGATCTGACGAACTACTCTCAGGCAGTGTTCTCAGTAGTCCAAACTCTAATATGAGCAGCATGGTAGTTACAGGTAAGTATTACTCTCTTAGCAGTTTGTCATTTGCCATTTTAGGGAGCAGAATGTTGAACCTTAAATTTAACTCTGTTTTACCAGAAGAGCCTTTCTTTTTAAATGCTGTGTTGAAACATTTTAGAGTAAATTTTACTAGAGTATATATGAGCTGAGTGAAAAAAAAAAAAAACTTAAGTTGGTGACTTCATGAACAAGTTACTCTTGAGTTTGATTGCTTTTCATTTTTGAATCACAAATATATAATTCTTTCTCACATTATAGTCCCCTCAAGTGCCCCTCTGTTATTTTTAGTTTTTTGTTCTTGTGTCATAGAATGTTTTTACTTTATTTATTTATGCCACAAACCCTAAAACCCAAATTTTTGGTAAAAACCAAAGAATGCAGCTGCATAGTTGAAAACTCATTTTTTTGCTGAAACAATATGTTAATTCTTTGAATTGATCCTTTTATGTTATCTACCTGCATATTTAAGATGATTTGTTTAATCTTCAAAGTTAGAGTTTTAAAAAATTACATATGCCTGAAACAATGTTGGTTGTTTTTAGTATCAGTAAACAAATATAGACCAAATTTTAGACCTTAGTTTTATGGCTGATGGACCAATTTTTTTTCTTAGTATTTTGTTTTGTTTTGTTTGAACTTACGTGTTCTCATCTGAATGGAACAAATTTTGAATCTGGGTATTATTACTATTGAAGGAATTTGCCTCACAACTCAACATTTTACATTATTTACCTGAAACCAAATTTCCTTTTTCTGTATTTTAACTTTGAATTATTTGCTTGAGGAACAAATTTATTTCGCCTTAAAAGGATTGTAAAAGACTAGAAGACATTTTGATTTCCCTTAGGTATCTGTGCTTACATATACATACATACATCTTCACACAAACACACACACATCTCTGACAGTTCAGTTAATTAAAAATTATGGGGACTTAACAGATATAGTCATGATGTGAAGATAAATTTGTCAGTAGGTCATCATCACTGATTTTGCTATGTAATAATTACAAAGCAAAATCATTGGGCCATGATTTTGATAGTCAAAGTACCATGTACACCTAATTGAATGAATAGGCATAAGTGTGTAACTGGTTTGTCAGTTTCTCTTTTTGTTTGTTTTTCCAATGCATATTATGATTGATAAATGGGAGTGTTTTCCAAATTAATATTTAGGGCTAATGACAGAGTAGTAGCAGCCTTGACCCCTTTTTCAGTCTCCTCCCAAAACCCAAAACTATGTAACTGAATAAAATATGTGGAACAACTGTTGTTGGAAGTGATGAGCAGACGGTATAAGATCATCCTTGAGGGAAGGATAATGCCTGAGCTAAGTATCATAAACACTCTGGCATTTTGCCTTGGGCTACTTTACTGCTGTAAACCACAAGAAGTGGAGAACCCAGAGTATACAGGTCTCACAGAGCTGAAAAGACCAGGACTCGGAATCAGAGCTGTTCAATCATTTGGAATTTGTGGGGAAGTCTTGAAGAAAATAAAGCTGTCTAGGGGTTTAGTAATATAGCAGGGGGCAGAATTTAGTGTGGTCATTCACTTAATTCAGAGTTTTGGATAATGACTGGGTTACATGTGTACAGGTCTATCAGAAATTGTCTGCTCTGGGGCTAAATGGTGATTCCATAAGTTGCATAGTACTCTGCAACATTGGAGTTCTGAGAAGTCAGAATGCAGACATCTTGCAGGATACTTCAGACACTCCATTTAGACTACAGAAAGCCCAGACCTGAATAGATAGGATCATACCCTATGGGAAGTGCCATCTATAAGACTTAAGATAAAAACCAAAAACCTAACCCAATAGGAAGTGAAGGATTCACCAGTTAATCTAATTTAGTTGCCTTCCAAAACAAAACAACACCCTCAAGGAAGACAATATGATATAATTTTCCTGCAACTGTCTTCCATAATATCTAGCATGTCATCAAAAATTACAAGTGATATGAAGAAGCAGGAAAATAAAACATTAACCATAAAGAAACATTTAATAGGAACAGATTCCAAAATGACCTAGAGTTAGAATTGGCAGACAAGGATGATAATTATTTTAAGCTGTAAAGAAAAAGATTGTGTAGATACATTCTAATTAAAAATAATATTTGAAATGGTTGGGACAAATTCACTGGTTGGAACTAATAGCAGATTGGAGACAGTAGAAGAAATGTTAGTGAATTTGAATGTAGTTGAATACAGTGATTAAATCTGCCAGGGAGGAGAAAATACACATCATGGACAATGAAGCAGTCTGACATGTAATTTGAGTTTCAGAGTGAGAATGTAGGGAAAAAAGCATGTATCTCTTTGAGGTAGTAATGACAGAGAACTTCTACAATTTGAATAAAATATATCAATTTGCAGTCTTAAGAAGCTCAGGTAAACTCCCCATGTAGGCTAAATGAAAAGAACTATACTTAGACACACAGTCAAAATACTGAAAACTAGCAGTGAAGAGCAAAATCTAAATAGCTGGGAAAAAGACATCTTAACAGAAGACCAACACCTTGTACAAAAGGAAAAAAAAGGCAAATTTCTTTAGACTGAATGGGATAACATTAGATAACTTGGATCTGCAGGAGATGAGGAGGAGTACTGGGAAAGGTAAATATATGTATACATTTTTAAAAGGCTCTGTCTTTTCCTCTCAATTTCTTTGAAAGACTTTGTATAAATGACAATTTTGTATTACAGGGTTTAGTATGTAAATGGATGTTTATATGACAACAATTAGTACAAAGTGAAGATAAATGGAATTTTTCAGTGATAAGGTTCTTATATTTTACATAAAGTGCTACAGTGTTAACGCTAACATAAAAATATTCGGATAAGGTTGCATGTCAAAATTCTAAGTGTAATCACATTTAAAAAGATTTAAAGAAGTATAACTAAAAGCCAATAGAGGAAGAATTGAAGCATTTACTACCTGTTTTCAAGAATTGCTGCAAAGCTACAGTAATTAAAAATAGCATCAGATTGACATAAAGATAAATAGGTCCGTGAGACAGAGCAGAGAGTTCAGAAATTAACTCACACAATTTTGAATGACTGATTTTTGACAAAGGTGCAAAGTCAGTTCAGTGGAGAAAGAGTAGACTTCCACAAAAGGTGCTGTAGCAGTTGGATCTATCCATATGCAAAAAGTGATTTTGGATCTCTATATCACACTACATATGAAAATTAACTCCAAATGGATCGTGGCCTAAATGTAAAATCAAAAATTATAAAACCTCTAGAAGAAAACATAGTAGAAAATCTTTGTGACCTTGGATTAAGCAGAAATGTATTTGATATGATCCTAAAAGAATAATCTATTAAGAAAATGGATTTTGACGTCAGAATTAAAAACATCTGCCTTTCGAACCAAACTGTTAAGGGAGTGAAAAGACAAGCCGTAGACTGGCAGAACATCATAACAAAACATAGAGCTGATACAGGACTTCTATTAGAATATTAAAAAATTTAATATATGTAAACTGAACGGTAAGGCAACAAACAACTCAATTGGCTAAAATATTTGAACAGATAGTTCACAAAAGGTATACAGATGGCAAATAAGCACATGAAAAAGATGATCAGCATCATAGTCATTAGGGAAACGAAAATTAAGACTACAGTGAGATAACATTACAAACCTATTAAATAGTGACTAAAATTAAAGAGTACCATCTTGGAAAGCATGAGTAGGGAAGAATGTGGAAGAATCATAATATTCACAATACTGTTGATGGGAATGTAAAATCATAGAACTACTTTGGGAAACAATTTGGCAGTTTCTCCATGATCCAGGTTATTTGTCTCCTAAGCATTTACCCAAGAGTAATGAAGCCATCTTTCATTAAAAAACTCTCATGTTGGCCGGACGCGGTGGCTCACGCCTGTAATCCCAGCACTTTGGGAGGCCGAGGCGGGTGGATCACGAGGTCAAGAGATTGAGACCATCCTGGTCAACACGGTGAAACCGCGTCTCTACTAAAAAAAAAAAAAAAAAA